TTTTCTTCCTTCTCTTTTCCTTCTCTTCCTTCTCCTCTTCCTCCTTCATAACTTCTTTCCTTCATCTTCTACCTTTCTTCCTTCTCCTCCTCCTTTTCCTTCTTTCGAATTTGCTCCTCTCCTTTCTTTCTCCCTTCCTTTCTTCTCCTTCTCTTCTTCCTCCCGTTTCCTCTTCCTTCTCCTTCTTTCAAATTTTCTCTTCTTTTCCTTCCCCCTTTCCTCTCTTCCTTTCATCTTCCTTCCTTCTCCTTCTCTTCTTCCTTCTTTATCCTCTTCCTTGTTCATATCTTCCTTCTCCTACCTTCTCCTTTTTTGATATTTTCTCTTTTTCTTTTCCCCTTCCTTCTCTTCCTATTCCTTTTCCTTGTTCATATCTTCCATCCTTCTCTTTCTCCTCTCCCTTCTCCTTCTTTCAGATTTTTCCTTTCCCCTTCTCCTCTTCCTTCTCCTCCTTCCTTCTTCTCTTCTTTCCTCTCCTTTTGAATTTTCTCTTCTTTTTCCCCTTCTCCCCTTCCTTCTCTTCCTTCTCCTTTTCTGCTTCCTTCCTTCTCCTCCTTGTTCATATCTTCCTTCTCCTCCTTCCTTCTCCTCTTCCTTCTCCTTTCAAATGTTTTCTTCTTTTCGTTTCTCCCCTTTCCTCTCTTCCTTCCCTCTTCCTTCTCCTTCTCTGCTTCCTTCCTTCTCCTCTTCTTTGTTCATATCTTCCTTCCTTCTCCTCCTCCTTTTTTCGAATTATCTCTTTCCCCCTTCCTTCTCCTTGTTCATATCTTCCTTCCTTATCCTCCTCCTCTTCCTTCCTTTTCCTTCTCCTTCTTTCATATTTTTCCTCTTCTTTCCCCTTCCTTCTCTTCCTTCTCCTCCTCCTCCTCTTCCTCCTTGTTATAACCACTGTTATTCTTCATAATATCTGTGGGCTTATTTTTCTTGTTATGCTCCCCCCCCCCCTTCCTCCTCCTTGCCCTTCTGCACAGGTTGTTCCCGGAGAACGGAGACGTCTTGAACTTTGCCTCCTGGTTCGGCTTCGCCTTCCCCAACATGCTCCTGATGCTGGTGCTGGCCTGGCTCTGGCTCCAGATCTCCTTCATGGGATTCAAGTGAGGGCCAAGCTCCTGCTGCGGAGGGGGGGGGGGGTGTCTGACCAAGGGACTGGGCTGGCCGGCTGCCCTTTGGCCCAACGGAGATGCTCCGGTGCCAATGAGCACCAACAAGGCAGCATTGATTCACCTCCCAATGAGAATGGCCGATTGGCTGAGACGGCTGTGAGGTCATGCTCTGCACCCCAGGAGGTCATTTGGGGCCAGGACTGGACATCCAGGAAAGAGTAGGGAGAAGTGTAGGGACTTTTCATGCTTCTGTGGGGTGGAACATCCCTTTCTGACCAAGAAATAATAGTATCTACCAAAGTACAAAGAGAGTGGCCTGGGACTACTATATGCCACAACAATATAATAATAATAATAATAATAATAATAATAATAATAATAATAATAATAATTTGTTATTACTATTATTATTAATAATAATCATCATCATCATCATCATCATCAATACATCACACAGTCCTAGACACTTAGGAGGTGTCTGGCTTGTGATCTAATACATCAGCCAGCATAGTGATCTTGTTTGCTGTGTACTCCTCTTATTGTGTTTCTAATAATAATAGTAATAATAATAATGACGTCTGCCAAAGTACAAAGAGGGTGGCATAATATAAAACAAACCACATGTAGTTCAGGTTTGATCAGTCCACACGCCGCCTTGCCAGAGAAAGAAAATATGTTACGCAAGTGAACAGGAAAGAACAAGTAGTTTACTCTTTGTAGTTCAGAACGACACACGTACAATATGATCAGTTGCATGAACTCACTAAATGTCCTTTCATGAGAGATTTAAAATAGTATTTCTTTGTCCATGTGGATAAACTCGTCCAGCAGTTCATAAAGCAAGAGCACACTCCAAACTCTGCCTCTCTCTTTGTTTCTCTCTTCTTCCCTCTGCACTTGCATAGCTCAAGCTTGAACAAAAATGCAACAGTAATCAACAGTCCCAGGCTCAGCCATTCCCCCCGGCATTGCCTGACTAATCAGCTTCATGCATCTTATTTTACAATTCACACACACACACACTGATTCCTTGCATGCTCCAATGGCCTGGAACTACTATATGCCACAACAATTTATTATTATTATTATTATTATTATTATTGTCTGCCAAAGTACAAAGAGTGTAGCTTGGGACTACTATATGCCATGACATAATAATAATAATAATAATAATAATAATAATAATAATAATAATAATAATAATAATAATATCTGCCGAAATACAAAGAGCGTGGCCTGGGACTAATATATGCTGTGAGTTTTCTGGGCTGTATGGCCATGTTCCAATAGCATTCTCTCCTGAAGTTTCGCCCACATCTGTGGTAGGCATCCCCAGAGGTCTGTTGGAAATGAGGCAAAGGGTGTGTGTGTGTATATATATATATATATATCTGGAATAATATCCAGGGTGGGAGAAAGAACCCTTGTTTGTTTGAAGCGACTGTGGATGTTGCAATTAGAAAGCTTGATTAGCATGCCTTGCAGCTGCAAAGTCAATCAGTGAGGGTCTCTGCATAGAGGTAGCCTGGCTGTTGTTTCCTGGTGGAACCCAAACTTGGGCTATCACAAGCGCCTATCTTTCCCAATGTATATCCCTCTTCAGCTTCCGGAAAACATGGGGCTGCGGGGCCCAGGAGACGGCATCGGAGCGGGCCGCCCTCCGGCTGCTGAAGGAGGAGCACCGCAAGCTGGGCCCGGTCTCCTTCGCTGAGGGCAGTGTCCTGGCCGCCTTCGCCCTCCTAGTCCTGCTCTGGTTCACCCGGGAGCCCGGTTTCATCCCTGGATGGGCCACCGTCCTCTTCAACAAGGACAAGGAGTGAGTGCTTTTCCCTCATCATGGGGGTAGGAGGGAGAAAAAGACACAAAACACCCTTGGTGGGTAGGCACATGAGTTCCTCCTCTCACAGCCTCCTCCTCCAGCTGTGCAGTGGGACGGGCTGTCTCAAAGGCAAGCAGTTAGATCTGATGCAGAAAAACACTACAGAGTCTTGGTCACAGTTAGCAGAGATTTCATATTACAGCCTCTGGCAAAGTATCTAAGAAGGCAAAGAGCAAGCACATGGCAAATAGGAAGTGCACAAAGAAGCTTCTCCCATTTCGCCGTCTAGGGATCACAGGAAATGACTCAACTGTCCCTCTAGGATTATATCTCCACTCTTAGCCCTTCAGCGGACTGAGCTGTGAACACATGGCCAGTAGAACTGTATTTCTTCCACACACCGGAGGTACATGCAATGCATTCCTATCTAATAAGGCATTCTTCAACCTGAATCCGCTCCCCATTCATACCCGCCTTTTGTCTCCCTTGGTTGCTCCTTCTCTCTGGATAAGAGTATCTAAGATGGCTGAGAGCAAGCACATGACAAAGAGGAAGTGCACAAACAAGTCACCCCCATTTCTCCCTCCAGGGATTGCCCGCTTATCCCAGATTATTTGGCAGTGTAGACTCATATAGTCCAGTTCAAAGAAGGAGCCTCAGCTGCCCTTCCAGGATCACATCTCCACCCTTCAGTGGACTGTGCTGTGAACACATGTGCATTAGAGCTGTATTTTTCACACACTGGAGGTACATGCAATGCATTCGTATCTAATATGGCATATTTTCTACCTGACGTCCCCATTGCCTCAACAGGGGAAGGCTGAGTGAGCACCTTTCCCCTACCCTTGAGGGGGGGGAATGTTGGCGGATGTGGCCTCACTGGTCACTCACTCTTGCAGGTACGTGACGGACGCCACCGTGGCCATTTTCGTGGCCCTGCTGCTCTTCATCATACCGGCCACCCGGCCTCGCTGCGGCCCCTGCTTCCACAGTAGCTTCGACTTGGAAGAAGGTGGAGAAGGCAAGTTTGCCTTTGTGATGGTCAACACACACCAGAAGGCAATGCAGTATTAGAAGGAGGGGAGTAATATAGGATATGGCTTGACATTAGTAATATATCTATGAAAGGGATCTGGGCATCTTAGTAGAACTAAAGCTGAATATGAGTCAAGAGTATGGTGCGGCAGCAATGCGATTCTAGGCTGCAACTAGTGTTGAGATGGAGGAAAGTAATAGAAGCTTTGGCTTGACTGTAGTTATATAGACACTTTGCCGTTATCATCACATACTTGACTTATCCTCAGCTTGTGATGTAATAAGACTCCTAGATGCTTTTCATATATACAAGAGTTATGCGGAAAGTAAGGTTACAAGACATGTTCACGGGGAATTTTCGTGGGGGAAGTTGGTATCACTGCCATGTAGTCGGAAGACAGCAGAAGTGAACGAGCAGTGCCAGTCATCAGTAGTTCCTCAACTGGTGTTGTGGTGAAGGTTCAAGATTAGCGTCCTCATTCTGTTTCCCTCCAAGTGCAACGTTCACGATGTATGAGGGATGTCTGGAAAATAAGCTTATAAGACACGTAGCTTTCGCAGGGAATTTTCAAAGGGGAAGTTGGTATCACCGCCATGTAGTGGGGAGCCAGCAGAAGCGAACGAGCAGTGCCAGTCGTTAGTAATTCATCAACTGGCGTTGTGGTGAAGGTTACAGATAAGCATCCTCATTCCATTTTCTTCCAAATGCAAAGATCACGCTGTACGAGGGATATCTGGAAAGTAAGGTTACAAGGCATGTAGGTCTCACGGGGAATTTTCTTGGGGGCAGTTAGTATCACTGCTGTGTAGCAGGAAGCCAGCAGAAGAGAACGAGCAGTGTCAGTCGTCAGTAGCTTATTGACTGGTGTTTAGGTGAAGGGTAGAGATGAGCATCCTCATTCAGTTTCCTCCCGTGTGAATTTCATGCTGTAGGAAGGATAGCTGGAAAGTAAGGTTACAAGGCACGTAGCTCTTGTGGGAAATTTTCTCGGGAAGTTGGTATCACTGCTGTGTAGCGGGAAGCCAGCAGAAGCAAACGAGCAGTGACAGTTGTCAGTAGCTCATCGACTGGCATTGTGGTGAAGGTTAGAGATCAGCGTCCTCATTCAGTTTCCCCCCAAGTGCGAATTTCATGCTGTACGAAGGATAGCTGGAAAGTAAGGTTACAAGGCACGTAACTCTTGTGGGAAATTTTCTCAGGGGAAGTTGGTATCACTGCCGTTTAGTGGGAAGCCAGTAGAAGAGAACGAGCAGTGTCAGTCATCAGTAGCTCATTGACTGATGTTGTGAAGGTTAGAGATGAGCATCCTCATTCTGTTTCCCTCCAAGTGCAAACTTCATGCTGTACGAAGGATAGCTGGAAAGTAAGGTTACAAGGCACGTAGCTCTTGTGGGAAATTTTCTCAGGGGAAGTTGGTATCACTGCTGTGTAGCGGGAAGCCAGCAGAAAAGAACGAGCAGTGCCAGTCGTCAGTAGCTCATAGACTGGGGTTGTGGTGAAGGTTATAGATGTGTTGTCCAGCCTGATTGTCCAGGGTGTATCTGGAACATGGGCTCTTCTTCACGCTCCCCTTCCTCGGATGCTTTTCATGGGGGTCCCTGCCCTGATCCCTGTCTTGGCCTCTCTGCAGCCCTGAAGGAGTCCCTACCCCTGGCCCCACTGCTGGAGTGGAAGGTGGTCCAGCGGAAGCTGCCTTGGAGCATCGTGCTGCTGTTGGGAGGAGGCTTCGCTTTGGCCAACGGGAGCGAGGTAGGCGCAGTGTCAGGGTTGTGTGCCCCTCTCCCTCCCAGTCAGGCCTTCCCAATGGGTCTGTGTGGGTCTCCACTGCTGAACTGGGCCCAACTGGTACACCAAGGCTTCAAAGAGGTCTCATGCCGAATGCATTTAGAGAGCGCTCCTTGGGATCTTCGCCAACCTGGGAGCCATCCCTTGCTCTTAGTTGGGTTTTCCTACCCAGCTCATTGGGAAAAACAAAATGCTGTTGCTGCTGTTATCATGGATGCTTTCAGCGCCCACTTCCCAACCACACGAGTAGGATTCAGCGTTGTGTCCATTGTATGCATGGGGTTGTCTTCACCCTCTGCCTTTTTCTTTTTTTGCCAGGTGTCCGGCCTGTCCAAGTGGCTGGGGAGCCAGATGACCCCGCTGCAGAGTGTCCCCCCTTGGGCCATCGCCATCATCCTCTCCCTCCTCATTGCCATCTTCACCGAATGCACCAGCAACGTGGCCACCGCCACCCTCTTCCTCCCCGTCTTTGCGTCCCTGGTGAGGTCGCATCCAGTGGGCTTCCTCTCTTGGGTGTCAATAGGGGGGCATTTTAGGGGGGAAGCATTCACATGTTCATGCAAGGCCTGACTGTCCGCTTTCCCCCCACCCAGTCGCAGTCCATTGGGGTGAACCCACTCTACATCATGATCCCTTGCACTTTGAGCGCCTCCTTCGCCTTCATGCTCCCCGTGGCCACGCCGCCCAACGCTATCGTCTTCTCCTACGGACACCTCCGCGTCACTGACATGGTAAGGCGGGCCCCCTGCGCAGCCCGACACTCTGCAATTCCCAACCCTTTTTGTTTTTTGAGTCACGACCACTGGCTTTTTTGAATAGGGGAAATGAAAACATATTGAAAATCGTATTCAAGCCGTCCCAGAGTTACAAACATCTGACTTACAACTGACGCCTTGTTAAGAACTGGGCTGAGACAACAGCAAATGAGACTCCTCTCCTTCCTTCCCTTCTTCTCTTTCTCTTCTCCTTGGGATCAAATACTCCTTCTCCTCTTTTCCTCCTCCTCCTTCTTTTTCTCCTTCTCCTTCTTCTCCTCTTCTCCTCTCTCTTTTTCCTTCCCTTCTCCTCCTCCTTCGCCATGGGGCCAAAATCCTCTCTCCTTTTCTTTCCCCTTTCCTTTCTCCTTCTTGTGTGTCCTGTCTCTCCTCCGCAGCTGCCTCTAAAGCAATGTTACTCCTTTTCTCCTCCTTTCCCCATTCACCTTTGTCCATCCCTTGGAGAAACACTTTTCCTTCTTCTCCTTGGGGTCAAATACTCCTTCTCCTTCCTCTTTCCCTTCTCTCCTATTTTTCCTCCTTGGTGTCAAACATTCCTTCTTTTCCTTCTCTTTCTTTTCCTTGGAGTCAAACACTCCTCCTTCTCCTCTTTTGAGTCAAACACTCCTTCTCCTTGGAGTCAGACACACCTCCTTCTCCTCCTCCTTGGGCTCCTTCTCCTTATTCTCTTCCTTCTCCTTGGAGTCAAACCTTCTTTTTCTCCTCCTTTCTCCCCCTTTTCTTCTTCTTGGGCTCAAACACTCCTTGTTCTCTACTCCTTCTTCTCCTTTTCCTTCTCTCCTCCTTTTTCTCCTTGGGGTCAAACACTCCTCCTCCTCTCCTTCATTTCCTTCTTGTCGTCTTCTTCTCCTTGGGGTCAAACGTTTTTTCTTCTTTTTCTCCTTCTCCTTGGGGTTAAACACTCCTCCTCCTTCTTCTCTTCCTTCTCCTTGGGGGTCAAACAATCTTTCTTTTTTCCCCTCCTCCTCCTTGGGGTCAAACGCTCTTCCTTCTGGGTTGTTGTAGGTTTTTTCGGGCTGTATGGCCATGGTCTAGAGGCATTCTCTCCTGACGTTTTGCCTGCATCTATGGCAAGCATCCTCAGAGGTAGTGAGGTCTGTTGGAACTAGGAAAAAGGGTTTATATATCTGTGGAATGACCAGGGTGAGACAAAGGACTCTTGTCTGCTGGAGCTAGATGTGAATGTTTCCTCCTCCTCCTTCTTCTCTTTCTCCTTCTCCAGGCGAAAACAGGGATCGTGATGAACATTATTGGTGTGCTCTGCATCACGCTAGCCATCAACAGCTGGGGCCGGGCCATGTTCCACCTGGACACCTTTCCCACCTGGGCCAACGCCACTCTTGGGGAATGAAGGCCGGGACCCAAGGACGACGACGATGGTGCGCTGATTGGGGTCTGAGCCAAAGGATCCGCCTCCCTTCTGAACCTGGCAGAAGGGCCCCAAAGCGAAAAGGGCATGCAAGTGAACCAAAGAGGGAGAAGGAGCTGGTACGGACCCACAGCAGAGCGGCACCGAGGGAAAGGGCTGGAATCCCTTTGCGCTTCCAATGGGCAGCTTTTAAAAAATATGGACCGAGCGACTTCTGCACTTTGGAGGATCTATCTGGAGAAACAGATGGGCCTTTCAGACCTCTCTCCCCTTTCTATCCCTTTCCTTGCCTATTTCCCTTCCCCGAATCCTTCTAGCCATCCGTCACAAAGGGTGAGCCTGCAGGGCAGGGCCCTTTTAAAATATTTTTTCGGACAGAGTGTTTGATTCACTTTATAAAGAAATAAATATTATTTGTATTCCGACCTTTGGAATCACCGCTCCTGCCGGGTGGTCAGTTTCCTCTTTCTCTCTCTCCTTGCTGGAGAGACTAAAGCATGTTTCAAAGGAGGCACCGGGGTGGAGTGGCCTGCGTGCAGCCACTTTGCAAGGGCCTCCTTCCTGTACACAAATGCCAGAGCTTTGAATTTTCCATGTTGAGTGGCCATGTTTCAGAAGCATTCTCTCCTGGCGAAAACAGAATACATCAGTCTGTAGGATTACGTGGGAAAGATGTGGCGAAAATTAACGGGAGACGTCATGCTTTTATGGGTGTCTATTAAAAAACAAACTATTGTCGAAGGCTTTCATGGGGAATCACTGAGTAGCTGTGAGTTTTCTTGGCTGCATGATCATGTTCCAGAAGCATTCCCTCCTGACAATTTGCCCACATCTATGGCTGGCATCCTCAGAGGTTGTGAAGTCTGTTGGAAACTGGGCAAGGGAAGTTTATATATCTGTGGACGTCCAGGGTGGGGGAAAGAACTCTTGTCTGTTGGAGGCAAGTGTGGATGTTGCATTTAATCTGTCATACACCTCTGACCTTAAACACCACACTAGCTTGGTAAAATCAGCAAGCAGTTTATTGAAGAATATCTGTAGGCAAAGCAGTAAAATTAGCAAAAACAGTAACGTTCCAAAACAAGGAATAGCCCACTAGGTTCAAGGCAAAATAAGGTCCATTGGAATAAAAATCCATGAAATAGGGCACAAGAATCCATGAAACAAGGCAGCAGGAAAAATCCAAAACACAAATCAGGAGCTTGGCAAAAACTTGGTACATGAAACTAAGACCACTTCAAAGCAAGACTATCCTGAAATTCCAGCTTGACTCAACTGAGGCAATCCTTTCCATGAATCAATATAAAGGTTTTCCAGATCCAAAAACCAAAAGGAAAGTGTTTTTCTCGATCTTACCACCAGATAAAGGTTTCTTATCTTTCTTTTCCTGTAAACGTACTGATTTGCGCCTGAGCACCCTGTCTCTGTTTACAAAAGCCTTGCTTTCTATCTACACTCTCATTAACTTGACTCTCATTAACCTCTGCACCTGACAAATCATCTTCAGACAGTTGCTCTGAGAAAGACTGTGAAGGGCCTCTCCCAGGAATGTGACCTTGTGAATCTTCCTGAGAAAGCTCGTGCCTCTCGTGAGCTTACCTCAGGCCCAGACAAACCCTCATCCCCATTGCCAACAGACCCACCATCAGGAACATCGACCTCATTCCCATCATGAATATCAGACACAGTCACAGGCTGACATATAACATAATCACCTTGATTAACATTGCAGCTTCAAGGCCTGGCTGCTTCCTGTCTGGGGGAATCCTTTGTTGGGAGGTATTAGCTGGCCCTGGTTGTTTCCTGTCTGGGATTCCCCTGTTTTCTGAGTGTTGTTCTTTATTTACTGTCCTGATTTTAGAGATTTTTAAAATACTGGTAGCCAGATTTTGTTCATTTTCATGGTTTCCTCTTTTCTGTTGAAATTGTCCATGTGCTTGTCCCATGCTGGTCCTTCCACAGATCCATAAAGCTTCCTTGTCTAGTTTCTAATATACCCCACAACCTATGAGGAGGGAGCCTCCAGCGGTGAAATGGGTTAATAATAATAATAATAATAATAATAATAATTTATTTATACCCCGCTACCATCTCCCCAAGGGACTCGGTGCGGCTTACATGAGGCTGAGCCCACAATACATCAATAATAAAACAGTAGCAAACAAACAATACAAAACAGTTAAAATACATCTCATAAACAAAAATAAAATATAAGCAGTACAGTAACACAACAAGCATTTAAAACCTATGGCTGGGCCAAATGTAAAATTTAAATTTAAAAAATAATGCTGGGCATGTGCAAGCTAGGATATAACTGGGATGGAAATTTTCGGAGAGGATAGGACGTGCAAATCAATCAATCAATCCTAAATCAATAATAAAGTGCATTTTGAGGGCATATTGCTGAGAAATTCATTATTCTGGAAAGGGCCACTGGAACAACCACATGTGCTAGTAGTACTGAAGACTGACAGGTCGGAGGTTCGAATCTGGGGAGAGAATGGATGAGCTCCCTCTGTCAGCTCCAGCTCCCCATGCGGGGACATGAGAAAAGCCTCCCACAAGGATGGTAAAACATCAAAACATCAGGGTGTCCCCTGGATGATGTCCTTGCAGACGACCAATTCTCTCACACCAGAAGCGACTTGCAGTTTCTCAAGTCGTTCCTGACACACACACACACACACACAGAAAACGTTTGAGGATGCCTGCCATAGATGTGGGCGAAACATCAGGAGAGAATGCTTCTGGAACATGGCCATACAGCCCGGAAAACTCACAGCAACTCAGTGATTCAGGCCATGAAAGCCTTCGACAACACAAAGAGCAGAAGGAATCACCAGGCAACCAACACAATCGGCCCTTGTGCACGGAGAGACCAAAGACAACAGAATGTTCGCACAAAATTTCACAGTTTGCTGATTATTTGCGCACACAAAAAAAGGAGCTGCCCGCCCAAGTCTTTGGATTTCCAAGTTTTGTCAGCCTTGGTTCGCAATTTGCATTCTAGAGCAAAACTACAGAAATACGAAAACTTTTGTTCGGGGAACAGATCTATTAAAGTAATACAAATTCTGACTTTGGGTTGGTTCTGTTCTTTTAAAACTTTTTAAAACTTTGCAACCACTATCCTGCAACGTGAATAATAGCAAAGGAAACAGAGAGAGAGAGAGAGGCTCTAACTTTTAATTTAAGCTTGAATATACAAAGGAGTGAAATGGGGAGACCAAGGCCAGCACATTCATCTCCGAATAGGTTTACACCACTCTTCTCCCCACTACTTCCATTGAAAAGAATGTTTGGGAAACAGCACAAAGGGAGGCCAGGCTTAAAGGGGGGAGGCTTGCTGGCCGGGACCCCAGAAGTGTCTCTCTCTCTCTCTTTCTTTCTGGGAGGGACTCAACGCAGGCAGGGCGCCATTCATTCATTCATTCATTCATTCCGCCTGTGGCCGTATTGGTTGCATTAAACCAACAGCAACTGACCAAGGCAGGCAAGGTGGGCTGACCCGAGGATGCAATGGCAGAACGAAAAGGGAGGCATAGACGAACTTCAGCAATATTAAACAGGGAATGAACACAAGGAAACTTTGTGTGTGTAGGTTTGGGGAAGGGGATAGGCAATCATTGAATGCAAAGACTCAACACGGCTGACATTATTTAAAATCATTTCCAGTACAGTTTTAAAATCTCCAAACAGAGATATCATTGGAATGACACTGTAAATCATCACCTTCCCCTGAGAAAAATGTATAACATTACAAAGGACTTTCACCTCACCCGCTTCATAGGAAATCTGCTACCAAACAGGAGCTTTTTTGTTGAGTTCCAGGGCCAGAGAAGCAGATGGCGGAAACAGAATAGCCTGCCTCAGGAGAGGGTGCTTGCTCCGTACACGTTTAACATTCACACAAATGACCAGCCACTGCCAGAAGGGACAGAGAGTTTCATCTATGCTGACGATCGTGCTATCACCACCCAAGCAGGGAGCTTTGAAATGGCTGAACAGAAGCTCTCCGAAGCTTTAGATGCTCTTACTGCCTATTACTGGGGAAACCAGCTGATTTCTAATCCATCTAAGTTTCATCTATGCTGACGATCATGCCATCACCGCCCAAGCAGGGAGCTTGGAATGGCTGAACAGAAGCTCTCCGAAGCTTTAGATGCGCTTACTGCCTATTACTGGGAAAACCAGCTGATTCCTAATCCATCTAAGTTTCATCTATGCTGATGATCATGCCATCACCGCTCAAGCAGGGAGCTTTGAAATGGTTGAACAGAAGCTCTCCAAAGCTTGAGGTGCTCTTACTGCCTATTACAGGGAAAACCAGCTGATTTCTAATCCATCTAAGTTTCATCTATGCTGATGATCGTGCCATCACTGCTCAAGGAGGGAGCTTTGAAATGGTTGAACAGAAGCCCTCCAAAGCTTTTGGTGCTCTTACTGCCTATTACAAGGGAAGCCAGCTGATTGCTAATCCATCTAAAACACAGACATGTACTTTTCACCTCAAGAAAAGACAAGCATCTCGAGCTCTGAGGATGACCTGGGAAGGAATCCCACTGGAGCATTGCAGCACACCCAAATACCTGGGAGTCACCCTGGACCGTGCTCTGGCCTACAAGAAGCACTGCTTGGATATCAAGCAAAAAATGGGTGCTAGAAAAAATATTGTACAAAAGCTGACTGGCACAACCTGGGGATCACAACCAAATATAATGAAAACATGTTCCCTTGCGCTTTGCTACTCTGCTGCTGAATACGCGTGCCCAGTGTGGAACACCACGTGAAAACAGTGGGTGTGGCTCTTAGTGAGACAGGTCGCATTATCACAGGATGCCTACGCCCCACTCCGCTGGAGAAATTATACTGTTTAGGCGGTATTGCACCACTGGTATTGCACCACCTGACATCCGCCGGGAAGTAGCAACCAATAATGAAAGGACCAAGGCAGTGACATCTCTGGCCCATCCTCTGTTCAGATATCAGCCAGCATGTCAATGCCTTAAATCAAGATCTACTGAGATACTAGCAAGAACACCTCAGCAAGTGAGAGTCCAAAAGTGGCAGGCTAAGACCCAGAATCTCAAGCCATAGCTGATATCAAATGAGAGGCTCCCTCCTGGGCACAAAGAAGACTGAACAGTCTGTGCTCTGGCACCACGAAATGCAGAGCCAACCTTAAGAAATTGGGCTACAAAGCGGAGACCACGACATGCAAGTGAGGAGTAAACTACAGACCACCGACTACAATGCAGTCTGAGCCCTACCACATGCGCAATGGAGGACCTCATAGCAACACTAGAGGTACTCCAAGGGGCCAGTTACTGGTTAAAGGATATTTCGTATCATGCCAAGTTTTTTAAACTTTATGTTTTTCCAAATACATTACAACTGTACCCTCAGTTCGCTTCTGATATGATAAATAAAATTAGTATTTTTAAAAATTCGGTTAAAATCCATCAAAAACCCTAGAAACCCGAGCAGCGGCCTCTCCGGACCCACAGAGGATTCCTCTGGGGACAAATGCGGTCACTCCGAGGCCGTTTTGCACAACGAGGGCTTTGTGACCCAGATGGCATCACCTGCACCTCTCTCCTCTCCCTCTAATCACAACGGTTCTCAGTGTCTTCCCCAGCAAGACCGAACTTTCCTAATGACAGGGCAAGAGCAAACCAAATTGCAGCCTTCGCCTGAACGGCCCTAAATAAGCACCCCGCGTCCTGTATTCACACAAACACATTGACCCATATGGAGAAAGACACACTCAGAGACAGCCTTTTGCATGATCAGCACCAGTCCAGTCTGTCTCTTTTGGAAATCTCAGTGTTGTATTCCAGAGCAGGAACACCTCTGTTCTTAAACACCACACCAGTATAGTAAACTCAGCAAGCAGTTTATTGAAGGATGTATGTAAGCAAAGCAATAAAAATTATAGAAAGAGTATGTCCAAAACAGTATTTTCCAAAGGTAACAAATGCTCCATGTACTCCAAGGTAGAAAGGTAAAAACACAAGATCCAAGGATGTTGTTGTTCATTCGTTCAGTCGTCTCCGACTCTTCGTGACCTCATGGAACCAGCCCACGCCAGAGCTCCCTGTCGGCTGTCACCACCCCCAGCTCCTTCAAGGTCAAGTCCAGTCACTTCAAGGATGCCATCCATCCATCTTGCCCTTGGTCAGCCCCTCTTCTTTTGCCTTCCACTTTCCCCAGCATCATTGTCTTCTCTAAGCTTTCCTGTCTCCTCATGATGTGGCCAAAGTACTTCACTTTGTCTCTAGTCTCCTTCCCTCCAGTGAGCAGTCGGGCTTTATTTCCTGGAGGATGGACTGGTTGGATCTTCTCGCAGTCCAAGGCACTCTCAGAACTTTCCTCCAACACCACAGCTCAAAAGCATCTATCTTCCTTCGCTTAGCCTTCCCTAAGGTCCAGCTCTCACATCCGTAGGTTACTACAGGGAATACCATGGCTTTGACTAGGCGGATCTTTGTTGCCAGTGTGATGTCTCTACCCTTTACTATTTTATCGAGACTGGACATTGCTCTCCTCCCAAGAAGTAAGCGTCTTCTGATTTCCTGGCCACAGTCTGCAGTCTGCAGTAATCTTTGCACCTAGAAATATGACCTCCATGTTTTCTCCCTCTATTTCCCAGTTATCAATCATTCTTGTTGCCATAATCTTGGTTTTTTTATGTTTAGCTGCAACCCAGCTTTTGCACTTTCTTCTTTCACCTTGATTAGAAGGCTCCTCAGCTCCTCCTCGCTTTTGGCCATCAAAGTGGTATCATCTGCATATCTGAGGTTGTTAATGTTTCTTCCAGCAATTTTAACTCCAGCTTTGCATTCATCCAGCCCTGCACATCGCATGATGTGTTCTGCATACAAGTTGAAAAGGTTGGGTGAGAGGATGCAGCCTTGCCGTACGCCTTTCCCAATCTTGAACCAGTCTCTTGTTCCGTGGTCAGTTCTGACTGTTGCTCCTTGGTCCTTGTACAGATTCCTCAGGAGAGAGGGAAGGGGGCTTGGGGTGCCCATCCCACCAAGAACTTGCCACAATTTATTATGATCCACACAGTCAAAGGCTTTAGAATAGTCAATGAAGCAAAATAGATGTTTTTCTGAAACTCCCTGCCTTTCTCCATTCATCCAGCGGATATTGGCAATTGGTCTCTCGTTCCTCTACCTTTTCTAAACCCAAGGATACAAAATCCAAAAGAACAAGACAGCATGGAGATCCAATACGCAGAACAGGAACCTGGCAAAACTTAACATGATAATTTAATGTTGACGAGACTGAGCTAAAATCTTTTCCCCATCTCATATAAAGCTTTTCCTGTCTCATGAAACAAAAGGAAAACAATCCATTTGCCTTTACAACCAGATTATCTATCTATCTATCTATCTATCTATCTATCTATCTATCTATCTACTAATTCATTCATCCACCTACCTATCAACCTATCTCTCTCTCTGTGTCTCTCTCTATCTCAATCTATTTAGCTACCTTTCTATCCATCTACTCCTATCTATCTATCTATATCTATCTATCTATCTATCTATCTATCTATCTATCTATCAATCTACCTATCTATCTCTTCATCTATCTCTTCATCTATATCTACCTTTCTATCCATCCATCTACCTATCGACTCTATCTATCTATCTATCTACTATCCCTCTGTTATCTATCCATCATCTATCTATCTATCTATCTATCTATCTATCTATCTCTATCTATCTATCTATCTATCTATCCATGTCTATCAACTATCTATCTATCTATCTATCTATCTATCTATCTATCTATCTATCTTATCCATCAATCTACTAATCCATCCATCTAGCTATAGAATTTTCTTTCTATTAATCCATCCACCTATCTATCAACCTATCTATCTACTAATCCAACCATCTATCTATCTATCTATCTATCTATCTATCTATCTATCTATCTATCTATCTATCTTTGTACTCTATCTATCTATCTATCTATCTATCTATCTATCTATCTATCTATCTATCTATCTATCTATCTATCTATCTATCTATCCATCCATCCACCCATCTATCTACCTGACTATTCATCCACCCATTTATGCAACTATCTATCTATCTATCTATCTATCTACCTATCTATCTATCTATCTATCTATCTATCCATCCATCCATCCATCCATCCATCCATCCATCATCTCTATCCATCTCCATCATCCATCCATCCATCCATCCATCCATCATCATCCCTATCTATCTATCTATCTATCTATCTATCTATCCATCCTCCATCCATCCTATCTATCTATCTATCTATCTATCTATCTATCTATCTTATCTATCTATCTATCTATCTCTCCTACCATCTATCTATCTATCTATCTATCTATCTATCTATCTATCTATCTATCTATCATCTCATTTCGACTTTTCAATCCATTCATCTATCTATCGATCTATCTATTAACTTTCTGCCCGTCTGCCCATCTCTCCAACTCTTACGGGTTGGACTACATGGCCTTTGAGAGTTCCTTCCAACTCTAGCATTCTATAATTCTCTATCTTTCATTCCATACACATCTATCTCTTTCTCTGGAAGTTTTTAAGCAGAGGCCGGGGGCCTTCCAGCCTGGCAGAATGGGGCTGGACTGGATGGCCTTTGGGATCCCCTTTGCAGCCTTGCCCTCAGGCGGTCCCTCTTCTGCTGTGTTCTTTTTTCCTTCATAATAACGATCATTTTACAAACCACGAAGCCCCCCCCCCCCCGCGTAAGGGGATACCCTGTCATGTTCACAAAGGCTAAGAATAAGCCTCCTCGCCTGACTCTCCCCTTGAAAAAGGCAAGATTATAGGATGCAAAAGGCTGCCGGGGGATAAAAATAATGAAACCACAACTTAAATAAGGCTGGATATTCTGAATCCGGAGGCGTATTTTTGGAAATACCAAAGGCCCTCTGTGAAGAGGCTCCAGGAGATGGCGGCCGCCCCGGCCTTGCGGTTGACCACACGGCCCTCGAGCCACGTTGTGTGGCCAAGACTTGGGAATCTGGGTCAGCGGGACAGGCGCTGGCTTTGCTTTAAGGGGCAACAAAACTAAATGACCTTAGCTAAAATCAGTGTGCACCTGAGATTTGCATCATATAGTCATCTTATAGCGCGCACACACACATAAACACAATAATAAAATGGGGCTTGGGGTCCATGTACATAGACAAGCTCCTGCCTCCATAAAGAGCTCTAGCACCCACTAGCCAGAAGACACCAATGGCTCTCCCTCCAATGACATTGCAGGTTATAGTGAGCGCCATGAACAATGTCCAAGAGCCCTGCCAATGTCTTCACCAAAACCATACTGCCCATCACTCAAGTGAAAGCTTTCAAATGGGTACAATTTCATCATAGATTTGATGTGGTTCCCCCACCTCAGACATCCCAGTGTTTCCGACTCTCGCCACTGCTGTGGAATTTGCATGACCCCGCCCACTGCCTCTCCTTTAACCCTTTCCTACCATTTCCTATGGTGCACAGCAAACAGAGAGGAATTGATCAGCAACCGCTCATACTGGAGGGGTTTGGGGGCCAGACTCAACATGATGGAAGTTGTAGTTCACCCTGCATCAAGACAGAGTACTGTGACCCCCACCGACAATGGACCTGGACCACATTTGGCACATAGAAACCCCCATGACCAACAAAAAATACTGGAAAGCTTTGGGAGAAATTCACCTTCATTTATATGAATTGTAGGTTCTGGGATTTATAGTTCACCTGCAATCAAAGAGCACTCTGGACCCTACCAAGGATGCCCCTGGGCGTAACTTGGCACACAGAAACCTCCATGACCAACAAAAATACTGGAAAGCTTTGGAAGAAATTCACCTACATTTATAGGAGTTGTAGGTACTGGGATTTATAGTTCACCTGCAATCAAAGAGCACTCTGGACCCCGCCAAGGATGCCCCTGGACCTAACTTGGCACACAGAAACCTCCATGACCAACAGAAGTACTAGAAAGCTTTGGAAAAAAAATCATCTTCATTTATACGAGTTGTAGGTACTGGGATTTATAGTTCACCTGCAATCTAAGATCACTCTGAACCCCAACAATTATGGACCTGGAACTAATTTGGCACAAAGAATCTTCATGACCAACAAAAAATACTGGAAGTCTTTTCGTGGCTTTATAGGAGTTGTAGTTCACCTACATCCAGAGAACACTGGACCAAACTTAGTACACATACCTTACATGTCCAAATTAGAATACTGGTGGGTTTTGGGAGGAGTTGTAGGTACTTGGATTTATAGTTTACCTCCAATTAAAGAGCACTCTGAACTCCACCAAAAAGAGAATTGGACCAAACTTGGCACACAGAACCCAAATTACCATCAAAAAATACGGGAGGTCTTTGGGGAAAATTCATCTTGATTTGAGGGAGTTGTAGTTCACCTACATTTAGAGAGCACTGTGAACCCAAACACCAATGGATCTGAACCAAACTTGGCACGCATACCTGATACAGCAAATTTGATTCCTGGAGGGGTTTGGGAGGAATAGACCTTGAGTTTTGGGAGTTGTAGTTCACCTACAACCAGAGAAACTGTGACCCCCACCAACAACGGACCTGAATCAAACTTGACACACAAAACCCCTATGACCAACTGAATATACTGGAAGGGTTCGAGAGGAACTGACCATAATTTCTGGGAGTTGTAGTTCACCTACAGCCAGAGACACTTTGACCACCAGTGACAATAAACTGGGACCAAACTCGACACACAGACGAATTGAACCAACTGTGGGGTTTTGAGAGGATTGACTTATCATGGTGGGAGTTGTAGTTTACCCTGCAGCCAAAGAGCACACTGGACCCCACTGATGGTACATCTGGAGCAAACTTGCCCAACATAACAAACCTGAAGTACTGATGGAGTTTCAGGGGGTTAACCTGGCACGATGGGAGTTGTAGTTCACCCACAACCTTATGCATATTGAACAATTAAAAATCTGACTTTTTCAAATAGCCTGGTCAACACCGAGTACAGAGGCTAGTGTGTGTATGTATGTATGTGTGTGTATACACACACACACACACAACACCTTTGAGACTCATTCATTAAAGCACGTGTTCTCGTGGATTTCAAACCAATCCTTGGCATTAATACTAAAGCACCATGTAGGATAGGAGCATACGAGCATACAGGCCATCTGTTGGGAGGGGTCGGATCGTGTCTTCAATGGCAGAATGGGGTTGGGCTAGATGGCCTTTGGAAGTCCCTTCCAAACTAAGCATTCAACATTTGTATGAAACATAGCTCTGTTGAGGTTTTAGTAATCTTGAAATGTGAAAATATCTAACAAATCTGCATAGAGTTCCATGGAAAGAGGTAACTTCTTTGGGGGAGAATTCGCTTGTTGTACCTCCACTTTGTCACTTTTTTGTACACATGTATTTTATACTGTGGTCAACAGTGTTGGCAGTGTTGATTCTATGTGCTGGCAGTTGTTGATTCTATAACAGAGGTTAGGGGACAATGGGAATTTGAAAAAGGATCGCAATTGGCCCCCAGGCCGGGCTTTGGACATACCTGGCAGTCTTTCTCCCATTGAGGTCATACCTGAACATTAAGAAGAACTTTTCAGTGGAAAGAAGAGCTGTTCGGCACTGGAGTCTCTGTCACAGAGTCCCCTTCTCTGGAGGCTTTGAAGCAGAGGCTGGACGGCTGTCTGTCAGGAGGGATTTGACGGTGCCCTCCTCCATGGTAGAATGGGATTGGACTGGATAGCCCCTGGGGGTTCCTTCCAACTCGAAAATCTCAGAATTCCATAGCCTTACTTCTCCATAAACTTGCTAATATCTATGAGGTTAAATGGCCACTGGTTGGGAGGGATGACACCTTCCTCCAATAATAATAATAATAATAATAATAATAATAATAATAATAATAGTAATTCTATTTTTCTTCCTGGCACTAGTGGGTTGGATTTAACGGCTCTTGGGGGATCCCTTCCAACTCTAGGAGTCTAATAATAATAATAATAATAATAATAATAATAATAATAATAATGGATAATAATATAATAGTAAAGTTAAAGATTTTCCCCTGACATTAAGTCTAGTCGTGTCCGACTCTGGGGGTTGGTGCTCAACTTCCTTTCTAAGCCGAAAAGTCGGCGTTGCCCGTAGACACCTCCAAGGTCATATGGCTGGCATGACTGCATGGAGCACCGTTACCTTCCCGCAGAAGCGGTACCTATTGATCTACTCACATTTACATATTTTCAAACTCTTAGGTTGGCAGAAGTTGGGGCTGACAGTGCTCACGCACCTCCCCAGATTTGAACCTGCGACCTTTTGGTCGCAGTAATTCAATAATAATAACTGATTAAAAAGTAATTGTATCTTCCTGTCTGGCAGAGGGGGGATAGACTGCATGGCCCTTTGGAGTCCCTTCCAACTCTAGGAGTCTAATAATAATAGTAATCTAATAATAATAATAATAATAATAATAATAATAATAGTAATAATTGATAATAATGAATAATAATATAATAATAATTCTATTTTCCTTCCTGACAGGAGGGGGTAGGACTGCATGGCCCTTTGGGGTCCCTTCCCACTCCAGGAGTTTAATAATAGTGATAATATAATGGATAATAATATAATAGTAATCCAATAATAATAATAATAATAATAATCAATAATAATGAATAATAATAATTCTATTTTTCTTCCTGGCAGAAGAGGTTGGACTGCATGGCCTTTTGGGGTCCCTTCCAACTCCAGGAGTCTAGTAAAAATAATGAAATAATGGATAATAATATAATAGTAATCCAATAATAGTAATAATAATAATAATAATAGTAATCGATAATAATGAATAATAATAATTCTATTTTTCTTCCTGGCAGAAGGGGGTAGGACTGCATGGCTCCAGGAGTTTAATAATGATAATGATATAATGGATAATAATATAATAGGAATCCAATAATAATAATAATAACTGA